AATGTGCAACCAAGTCAGTGTGAAGGGGTGTGGATGTAGCTGAGACCCAAAACCCATCTGTAAGATAATTAGATAGTCCCTCCCAGAAGGGCCACATGGAAGGGATTATAAATCCAGGGTACAGTATAACATTGATGAACCACATAACTATCCTCTAGTTCTTTAATATTTTGTCACCTTACTATTACTGTTTTTATTGTTTTATCTCATTAATCATGTTAGATTTACATATGTTCATTTGTATATTTAAGATTGTTCAGTACATGAAACTCAAGATAGATAACCCATCAGAAATAGTAACAGAAGTAATGGGTCCTTGAGGGTACAAGAGATGTTGGAGGGAAATGTGTGTGAACGGGAGGAATGAAGAACTGTTTGCATTGATGGTTGTATAATCCCACTCATTGATATTGAATAACAGAATTGTATGTGAATGGATAGGTTGGATTGGGTAAGATATGGCCAAAATAACTATTATAGAAAAAAAGGGGGGATAAGGGTTCCTGGGGGTGTGGTGGGGGGAAGGGGATAAAGGGGAGCTGATAGCAAGGCGTTCAAGAAGAAAGAAAATGTTTTGAAACTGATTGTGGTAGCAATTGTACAACATTACTTGATGTGATTGAACAATGCAATGTTATGATATCTGGGAGAGCTCCCAATAAAATGATTTTTAAAAGATGACCCACCAATGGAAGCGCCTGACTTCACTGCTCAGGTGATTCTCCTGAACTATCCAGGCCACATCAGTGCTGGAGACGCCCCTGTGTTGGATTATCATCCTGCCCACATTGCCTGTAAGATTGCTGAGCTCAGAGAGAAGATGGATTGCCCTTCTGTCAAGAAGCTAGTCTGTCGGCTCATCTTCTCACCGTTGCCCTCCCTCCTTTGGGAACCTGCAAACTCTGTCCCCTTCAGTATGCCAATCTTCTTGCCTTGGTATTTATCATTATAGGAGTGGCCCCATAGAATGTTTGTACTGCTACACTCAGCATGATGTTCCCCTGGCTTATCCATGCCATGAGGGGTTTCATGGTTTCATCGTTGCTTTGTTCACCATGAACACTATTCCATATAACGCATGGTATTCCATTATGTGTGTGTACCATCGTTTCTTTATCCGTTCTCCTACTAATTGGTTTTGGGAATGTTTCCAAATTCTTGCTATTGTGAGATGCTGAGGTGAACATGGAAATACATATATCTATTCATCTTATGTCTACTACTTCTTTAGGGTACACACCCAGTAGTGGTATTGCTAGATTGTATGGGATTTCTATTCCCAGCTGTTTTAGGTAACCCCATTTCAATGTCCACAATGGATGTGCATATTCATAGGCTCACCAGTCATGGATGTGGATTCCAATCTCTCTACACCCATCCAGCATTGGTTGTTTGCTGTTTTGTTTTGTTTTTTCATTGGGCTGTTATTGTCAGTGTAAAGTAATATCTCGTCATTATTGTGATTTATATCTCCCAGGTGAGCTAGTGATTGTGAGCATTTATTCACGTTTGTTAGCCATTTGGATGTCATTTTCAGTGCACTCTCTGGTCATGTCCTTTACCTACTTTTTACTTTTTAATTAAATTATTTTGTTTTGTTATTGAGCTATTGCAGTTTTTAGATTTTAGGGATTGGTCCCTTGTCTCTTATTTCCTTGTTAAAGATTCCTCTCCCAGTCTGTGGCTTATCTTTTACTCTTTTGTTGAAGGATTAAAAATATATATTATTTTGTAGCTATTCGTTACTTTTGTTAAAAACCTATACATTAACCATAAAGGTCAACTGTTAAAAAAAAAGAATGGAACATAGTGTTAATAAGACAGTCAACAACTATGGAGTTCAAATTCTTTCTATTCATTTATATAAAAATAGATGGTCTTCCACGAAAAATACCCTTACAAGATATCCTACAATTCACAATCAGCAAAATATTTTCATTTTTCTTTTTCTTTATTTTGCTGTGAACATAAATATTGACTGGAGTTCATTGAAAGCAATAGTATTTAATCTTCAACCTCCTCTAGACTTTAAAAATCTGGAAGTGCATATTTTTGTATTCAATATAGGAGAACGGATACCTTTCCCTGTCTCTCTCCTCAAAAAATACTGTAAAACAGTAAGAAATATGAGAAGCACAGCACCAAGTCTACCTTCAGTGAAACTAGGAATACCAATAACCTTTACCCACAGGATGCAGCATAGAAATCACTCAGAAATTAGAAAAACCACGTAGCAGAGTAGAGGAACCGCAAATGTGAATGCCTCGCTACGACCCTGCCAGTTCTCCCCAGAGAATCCCAGGACAGACCAGCAGTGTGATGTTCGTGTTGGATGGAGGGTGTGGTAAAAGTCTGCAGGGAAACCATCACCTCCACTGACTGTGGACGGCCACCAGTATCCCTCCTGCCCTGTCGTGGAATAGCATATATACGATCCACAGAAACTGAGCGATTCCAGACTCAGAAATCCCTACCACAATGTGAGAAACACTCGAAATGAAAAGGGAAACATTTTAACTAACAAGTGAGACTCCACCTCCACTGCTCCATTCCTTGCCGAACAACGGCAGCCGGTGTCCTCCCCACAGGAGACTGGATCATCCGAGCTACACTAGGTGCAATACTCCCGAGAAAACACCAGCAGAAAATGATACTTCATTACAGTTACACCTACCTTTACATGCAGAGCTTTCAATTCGCTTTCAGCCCTCATTCCTGAAAATAAATAAATAGACAAGGATCACTAATCAGTCCAGGAAAGTCTCCAACTCAAAAGGAAAGAGAGAATCAATCAATCCAAGAAGGAAAACATCACAGAAATGGAAAATAACATCCTTAAAAAAGATAAAAGGTGTGCAGCAATGGGGCACCTCATGGCATAGATGGACCTAGAGAGCACTGTGCTGAGTGACACTAGCCAATCATAAAAGGGCAAATACCAGATGGTG